AGGTTACAAATCCCCATAGATGCATCTAATTTTGTGGTAAAAGCCAGATTATGCAAGACAGACAGCCAGAAACAGATTTTAGAAAAACAATCTGATTCAGAGAAATTATACTCCTACCAAAAAAGAAATACTAACTGACCTTTTAGATGTTTTAAAACTTAAAGAGTTTAACTTGACAAAGAACCTGTTATCATATACATGGACCATGTGGCCATATTACATCTGTATTCTGAGAAAAATTTGTCATCCAGACTCATAACATGAGAATGGCTCTTAAATTATAAGACTTACAATTTAAACATATGTCGGGAAAAAAAAAAAAAAAAAATGTTGTGGCGGATGACCTATCATGAATTACAGTAGATAATGAGGAGAAAGAAATGCGTTACTTCGAAATTTTAGATTCATAAAAGAATTACTTCAGATTACAAGCTGACCCAGAATTTCAAAACATGGAACCCGATCATTTTGAACATCAAGACATAACGGAAATCAGGAACAAGGCAACTGACAATGAAATCATTGATCATTTCCCATTTCATTCAAAGGTAGCAAAGAAAAAAAAAAAAAAAAAAACAAAAACATGAATTACAGCCAGTTATTCCAGCAAATTTTACTCGAACTGCATGATGTGCCATTGTTAGGCCATCTAAGAATAAGAAAAAAATTTCAGAGAGTAAAAGAAATTGTTTATTTTCTAAAGCTACGAAGATTTGAAAGTGAATATGTCAAGTCCTGTAGCATTTGCCAATTAGTTAACGATATTAATTATAATCCAAATGGATACCTAAATAGCATAAAAGTCACATTTCCAAACAAAATCATAGAAACTGATCTGTTAGGTCCTTTTTCAGGATGAGTTTATCAGGTATTAGACACCTCTGCTAAATAGCATTTTGTGCCAAACTTACCAAATCCAAGGCTTCCTAGCTCCATTTGGGTTGCTCACTTTGTTTATAAAGTCTTAACAGCCCCTTAATAGAGATCAGGTGAATCTCTTTAGTATTGAGAATACCTAAAGCAGTCAACATTATCAGAAGTTCAAGGTCAGTAGCCTGTTCCTCTGATAAATGTTTTTCAGGATGTCCCTCAATAAGGACCACCATCTTGACTACCGTAAGAGCCTCCCTGAAGGTATAACCTTCAGGTCTGTCTCCTTTGGCAATCTTTGGGACTGTATTCTGCTCCATCCTTTGAAAGTGCCTTTTTTTTTTTCACCTGTGCTCTAGGGTTTTTCAACCAAAGCACCTTTGGCAATTTTCAATTCTCGGGCACGCTTCTTTTTTTGTACTCTGAGCTTTCCTTTTTTTACTATCTAGAGCAGCTTTTTTTACTATCTAGAGAACTTATCTAGAGCAGCAGTCATGCTTTTAATAGCTTCCTGCCCTTCTCCAGATCTTGATCGAGTAACTTGAATAGGGGTCATTTCTGCCTCACTCGATAAAGGATTCATTTCTGCTCCTTTGATTGATATTGTCTAGGTTTCTTTGTTTTGAGAAAAAAGGTCTATTGCAGTGGTTTTACCTGCAATAGCAGAATTTCTAATTATATCGTCATTTCCATGAACTAGAAAAGTGTGTACACAATAAAAAAAGTTTCACCCAGTATTGCTTGTTGCTGGGTAAGGCAAAATACTCTAGAAGTAGACAGGCATTCAAGACTATTAAGACACTATAACAGCAGTTAACACTATAACCCTAAGCACGAGTCACAGAACACCAGGGTTATGGGAGGGGTTTCGCAGCTTCTTATTTATTATTCGACAATATCCAGTCAGGTAATACAGAATATCCTGCTATCCACCACCTGCCGATGCATCTGCTGGCCACTAAGTGCCAGGGTTGGTCCTTACTAACATAGTGAAAAAAATAAAAACAGATATTTATTTGTGACTGTTGATAATTTTTCAAAATGTATACAAATAGTGCAGATTCATTTTTAAATAAATTTATCATCTCAGGCAATGGTTCACAGTTCATAGGTCAAATTTTTGGGGAAATGTCCACAGATCTAACAAAGCATACTACGATGATTAAAATAAATAAATAAATAAATATAAAATTAAAAAAATAATAAAAAATCTCAAATTAAATAAATGTATACGTATTTTTCAAGTTTTGGGAAGGCAAGGGAGGATAATGATCATCTAACAAAGGAGAAAGAGATGCACGAGGCAAAAAAAGTGTCTAACCACTAGTCTAGATTCTGGTTTTTTAACCAAATTTTATTGGTATATATTTTTACTTTATACTTTATTTGTACCTCACTGTCTAAGGGTAAGTTTCCAAAGGCCTTTTGTGCACTGGAAGTAAAAAATAATGATGAAAAAAAGATAAAACTCTGTTTCAGTCTTCATAAAAAGTTCTACAAATGTCTACAGCAGATTATTGGTACTCAGATCAAACGAAATTTAATGAAATAACTTAATGCTGGAAATCACCACAAATGATGAAATAGAATTTACACAATTCAGATTTCATTAACTCAATAAATTTCATTTATTATTAAAAAAATCAGATGTGTACACCATGACTTCCTTGTACGGAATATTAAATTATACGCATTTTTTCTTGCATTTCATTTAAACTTATTGGATTGAATTAAATCTACTTCACCGACAGCGCATAAACCACAATAGAATAAATGCATTCTTTAAAATTCACTCTAGTATTTGTTTACCATAGCGACACTTGGCACAGATTCACTTAACATATTATATTTCGTTCATATTATAACTCATAATGCACAATAATTATACATTTTAAAGAATAGAATTATCTAATCGTTGCCACATGTTCTATCAAATACTATAATAAAGCTAGAATGATGTATAAAAAATTAAGCAAACAAAACAAAAAAGAAACAGTTTTTCACAACGATTGAGTATTTTCTCATTCAATTAATTCAGTTCAAACTAAAAATATCTATATTAAAAATTACAAAGTAAATCTTAAACACTTATTTCCTCGAAAAAATTCCAGAAAGGATTAAGTATGATTTAATTCGCAATAATAAATGAAAGGCATTATCTTTGTTGTGCGAAGCTACGTTTCTCTAGATTGGCAACAAATCCACTACTCTGCTGTTTCAAATGTAAAAAGCAACGGCGCCATCAAAAAAATATTAGCTTAGCGGCACTTAAACAACTTTAAAATTATTGATAATTCTAAAATATTGCATACAGATTTATTAAAGGCATAAAAACCTTAACGGAAGATAAAAACCAACAATTCAATCATTTTTAAAGCAAAAAAAATGTACAATTTACAAATATAGTAAAGAAAAACTGAGATCACTGAGCCGGGTAACAGAGTGGATATATTATAAAATATATTTATATACGATTGGTGCAGCCGATTGCAACAAAAAGGGAGGTACACAGCTACATGTTATAGCAATCCCATGCACAACATTTCAAAGTTTTATGGCTACTCGTTCTTGAGTTATACGAGATACATACATACGTACATACAAACGTCAAGAAAAGACTCTTCATGAATCCCTTTTAAATCCAACTTGAATGTCCTTTTTGGCAAAACAGTCCTTTTATTCTGTCCGTACGTACAGATACCCCGCAAGAGCATCGTTCAGATTGGTTTTGAGAGTGGTTGAAATGGATATTTTCGTTGAAATATGCTGCCTAAAACTTTTCGTGATTACAATACTTCCTTTTTACTTCGTACAAGGAAGTAAAAACAGTTTCCTTGGTAAATACTAAATGTTAAAAATTCGGAAACTGTGTGATCTGCTTGAATATGCAATGAAAGACTGACAGCTTGGAGCTATGACAAAGGTGTATGCAAAAAAATAGGGTGCAATTTTATCTAAAAAAAACTACGTACAAAATTTAGCAAAACAGCTTAGCTTTCGTCACCAACTTTGTGATATACAGCCAGTCGTTTATGTATAACGGACACTATTAAGCTAGGAAAAAATTATCTTTACTGATTGTAAGGCATTTCAATTAATGTAGTGGACTGCGCTGCTCCGTAATCTTTTAGTTTGATCCAGCTTATTATTTTTAGCAGACTGTTATTATTACGGCAATTTTTTAAAAACTAAGCTTGAACTTTTAATTATGTCGAAAAGAGTTCCCAATTCCGGAGCTCCCAAGGATCTACAAAGCGAAACCATGTTTCGATGTCCATTAAACAAACAGTGAAATTGCTGCAATAAATGGATAAAGGCATATCCGTCTCAAAATTTTACGAGGAGTATGACATTTGAAAGTCAACTGTATATGACGTAAGAAAAAAGAAAAACTAACTTTTTGAATTTTTTGCGGAAGCAACTTGAACAACTTACATTGAAAGAAATGTTTAATAAACAAATATTAAGCTTTTTTTTTTTTTTTTTTTTTTTTTTTTTTTTGTAAATTTGATACCCTTTAGATCATAATTGCTCTTTATTCATAAATTACGGTTTCATATTTTTAATTGTATAATTTGTGCATGCCATCTTACCAGATTTAAATTGATGATATATAATCCGGAAAAACCCCTAATCCGGAAATGCTGAAGTCCCGACGAGTCCGGATTGCGGACTTTGTACTGTATTACTCCCAAACTTTTTAAAACTTTATATCTTCCTATTTACATTTAAGATTTCTTCAGAGGCTTTTGTCTTTCTCATAGATTTTGTTCACTTCTTTAATTTTTGGTTTATTATTCTTATTAAAGAAAACATTGTAATTTCAAAGTAACATATACAAAGCATATTTTTTATTTTCTTTTTTAATACATAAAATGACATTTTACACAACTTTCATTTAATCACTAATAAAATGAGTCATTAACAAAACATTTATTATTGTAAAAGTTAATATTTTCATTAAATATTTTATTTCCATGACTTTATCTAGCAGCTGTTTGAATCACATCAACTCAAGAAATAGTTTTTACATATTACACAAAACTACTCAGCACTATAATTCATTTGCAAATAAAAAACAAAAATTTGAAAAAAAAAATTAAGGAAGGAGAAAAATTATTTTTCCTTACAGTTCTGAGATGGTTCATCATGAGAAGCAAAATCTTGATCAGCAAAATTTAAGTTCTCAGCAGAATTTTTTGTTGAACTTTTATCTTTTGTAGCATCCTCTTGTTTTGAAGTAGAAGGAATTTTAGATTTTTCATCATACTGATCACGGTGTTTGTTAGTAGAAGCCCATTTAGTTTTATGTGATTGTGCTAAAAAAAGTATGGTTTTCAAAAAGGCATTATATTAATTGAATGAAACTTAAAGCCAATAAAATAGCTTACATCTTACAAAAATACTTGACAACAGTTTAACTTGAATATGCTTATTTGCAAATTTTAATACTAAAATATCTGAAAATATAATCCCCCCAGGGAAGGGAGAGAAAAGAAAAAGGAAAAAAATATTCACTAAATGATGGTAATAATAATAATATATTCAGAATACATTAATGCACATATGGAAAATAAAATCCAAACACTGAAATAAAAATCAGGGTACTTAATGTATTATCACAACCACCCTGGGGCAGTTTGTCAAATTTAAGGGAAGATAAAGAACAATTAATTTCATCATAAAAAATTATAACATGCATATGTACTTTATTTACATATCAAATATATATTTATTGCAATAAAAAATAATCAGTAAACCTAGTTATGAATGGGTTTTTGTTGTGGTGGAAATTTCGGTGTGATCACTGCCTGGTTACCAAAGTTTGGCATATTATGAAACTTTGGCGATTTTCTACTAAGGTGGTTGTGATAGCATGCAAGTACCAAATTCAGAGGAATGAAATATAGGCAAAATATTTGTCTAAGTAACATATTTATTTGATTATTATTTCAAGGTCACAGGCTAAAATATGCATGAATAGAGGCATTTAAAACGTGAAATTAGTGATACATTATTAACCATTGTAGTCATAATGATACTGAATGCAAGCATGTAAATGGACATGCAATGTGTCATCTAGGTGCCATATGTCATTTTGTGGGATGGAGTTCCATGCATGTTACACTTGGTCAGTTAAATCAACAATGAACTGTTGCGGGTGATGCTGAATTTGACTTCCGTATGAGAAAAAAATCAGATGATCTCCCAGGCAACATCTCAACACTATATATGGCATTTCAGGTGATAACAGCAGCATGGGAATGAGCCTTATTCAGTTAGAAAATGGCCATGGAATGAGCTACAGCACAAATAATGGAATCACCAGTAAGATAAACAAATTTGCTGTCATGGTGAGTGGAACAATAAGAAGATTGCTTGTGCTATTATAGGAAATTGCTCCCCAGACCATTACTCCTTGTGTAGGTCCCAGGGCTGTGGAGTCCAAGTTAGGCAGATTTTTGGGTAAAAGGAGTCATTGCTGGAGTCGCTAAAAACATGTCAACTCCGACTCCAGTTTTTGTTGGACAGTTTAAATTTGAAATGACATTAAAGTGAATTGAAAAAAAGATTAATGACAAACTGAGTTATTATTTTTATTTATGGACTACATACATTAATAAATAGATATTTTCTATTTTAGTCACATATTAATAAATATAAGGGAGGAGACGGATGTGATATTTACCATTATTGATTAAAATGATTCATTTAGTCACAAATCTCATTGATAAATTTAGGTAAGCAGTAATAGCAGCAAAAACTCCCAAAACTGATGCCATTCTTAGGAAGCGATTAGAAAAAGAAGCAATTATTGATCAAGCAATGCGATGGGTAAATACACATTTGATGATATAAAGGTTGTCAGAATTAGGAACTCTTTAAGAAGATGTAGATAATTCTAATGTTTCACTAACAGAAAGACTGCGGAATGATCTTGCAGAATAGGAAACTCTTCTTTCCACACTGTATACAGCCACAAAAAAAGGTACAATCTGAAGAATTAACAGGAGACGAGAATGGAAAAATGTGATGTTTGTTTTTTCTGAAATGGAGGGTTTATTGCAGAAGGAATCATTTCTTAAATGAAGAAATGAGAAACTAGTTTGTTAGACAATGAGATCTTCAAATCACGACAGTCAAACTGCAGACATTGCAACTGAGTCTCTATCCTCTTCTTCCAGTGTTAAATTAGATTTTCAGAAATTTTGGATAACATTGAAAAGTCTAAGACAAAACAAATGAAAATAAAGAACCAAGAGCCTTTAGATATAAAAATGAAAAAATACACTTAAGATTTCTACACGGCCTTTGAAGATATAAAGAAATACGATTGGTCTTGTAAGAACTTATAAAAATCTATCCTGAAAAGTTAAAGGAAGTAGTCTTAACAGTATTTTCCTCCTACTTAAGTCAATGTGGAAAGACTCTCCTCAGCTCTGAAGTTTATCAAATCAGATCTATGGTCCTCTAACAAAGAAGATCTTGCTGAAGCTATACTGTTTTTTAGAAATTACTAATGCTAGATTTTCCATTTCGAAATAAATTCTAAAGAATAAAAATAATTTCGTATGCCATCAGTTTTTTTCCTGTATCATCTATGTCTTTTATATTAAAAAATAAGCTGTAACTCCTTTGTATATGTTTACATATATATGAAGGAGTCAGAGTCTAAAATTCCATGAGTTGGAGTTGGTCATTTCCCCTACCGACTCCACAGCCCTGGTAGGTCCAGCGCATCTATACCATAGACAGCTTGGATCCAAGTATTCACCTGTCCTTCTTTTAACTACAATACAGCTATCAAGACAGAAATGGCTCTCATCTGAGAACACGACAGATCTCTATTCCCTCCAATGAGCTCTGGCTTAACAACACTGAAGTTGCAGATAGCAATGATTTGAAGTTAGCAATATGCCCACTACACAGCTCTCTGGAGCTGTCACTTACGTAACTAATTTGTTACAATTCACTGTATTACTCTGGTGCAACCAACAGCTCGAATGTCTGTTGCAGATACAGTGTGATGCATCACAGATATGTAGCAAATGTGGCAGTCTTCCCTTGTGGTGGTATTTTGGTGTTTCCAGTTTTGGAACATAGATTAAAGTGAGTTATTTAGTGGTTAATGAACATTTTGAAATTATCTGACATAAACGAGTCTAAAATTTAATATGTAGCTATCAGAATGTCTCAATTACAAAATTATAACCCACAGAAATTTCTTGCAGGTACATGCCAATCTTTAGACTTCAGATAGAAAATAAAAATTTGAATTTTTTCCTTTGTATAATTATGATTGTTGTTTAAGTATATAAATATTTAATAAATGAAATTTATTTATTTATTGTTGTTGATGTTGGTTTGCAAAGAATGTATTTAAATTTCATTTAAAAAATGTTCTGGCCCCTCAGCTCGCATGCAATTTGAGTTTGAGACCCTTACCTTATCTATAAGAAAGGGAAAAAAGGCTGTAGATTTATTCATTCCCAACAGCATTGGCTAAGTATGCACCTAAATCTAAATAATTCTAGATGTTTAGTTTAAACTGCAGTTCACAGTCAAATCAAATGAAAATAAGAGATTTACATGCAATTAAATTAAATAAAAATGCATTTCAACTTTAATTTAAAAGTGTTATTCTCAACAAAGTACTGGATAAAAGTATTATTCTAAAAGTAGCAAAAGAGACTTCAACATAAAGTATAAGTAAAATGGTATTTACTGTTTTCTGTTAAAATAATTCACAGAATCTGTACTTAAAAAGACAACTGTCTAGAAATGTTCAGCTTAAAGATTTTTCAGAAATTTACATGAAATTTCTACTATCGTTTAGGAAGTTTCACAATGCATACATTTACTAACATTTCCTGTTAGTAAATGTTCATGCCCAGTTTTTTCAAGTAACAGGAATATAATTTTAGGACAATAACAGTGCTCATTTTATAGACATGTCATATACCAATGGACAAGTAGCACAATAAGACATTTTAGTGGCAAATGAAGGTAATTTGTGCCAAAGAGAATTGCTTAATAGAGAAAGAAAAATTTTACTTATGCCATATCATGTTACAGTGAAAGCCCAACTATCAGACATTGAACTAATGTTAATATTTTAGAATTTTCCTCTTGCCCCCTCCTCAAATTAAGCATATGAGAAAGTATGCATAACTCATTAAATCATGCAATTTAGCATCAATAAAAGATAAGTACAATGTCACAACATACCGTATTTGACGGCATACAAGAGGCACTTTTTTTCCTAAATTTGGTCTCAAAAAAGTTACCTGCGTCTTATACGTGAAGGACACAGGTTAACTTTCAATATTGAATGCTACTTTTAGCCTGGATAAAAGTCTAGACACACATAACTTTTTCTACATTGCCATAATTATTTTGCGCATGCTGAAATATCTGTCGCCAAAAAGCGCCCAAAGCTCGAAGCTGATGTCGAAGTTTAAAGGTTTCGACGGTCACATTACGTCTATGGAGCCTTTCCTTCTTTAATAGACTTCTTTGACTCAGCCGACACAACGTGTCGGTATCGGGCTTAAAACTATTTGTTTATAAACAATACCCTGGAAAATATGACTACAGGAAACAAGAGATTAAGATATACAAGTCAGTATAAACTAGGAGTGTTAAACTACGCCAAAGTGCATGGAAACAGAGCAGCAGCAACGCATTTCAGTAATTTCAGCAAGGCATTTCGGTAATTTTCCTTAATAAAAATATGTTTGGTAATTGCATTCAATGATTGTTTATTTGGCTTTTACGAAACGTGAAAACTAAAAGAAATCGTATTTTAAGTTATTGTAGTATCGCGCTTTCGCGCTGACTATTGAAACTTTTTTTCCTTGTGTGTGGCCTTCTAAATAAGGGTGCGTCTTATATGCCGTCTAATACGGTAAATCATAAGATATTCGCCTTTGTTTTATGTAAATACAACTGATTCTCAACAAGGCAGTTTAATTTTTTTAAAGAACAATATAAGTTAATTGTAGTTTATCTGTTTTTCCATTGCATTAAAAAAATTATTAAAACTTAGGGCCTGCTTTTGATGGAACATGCAGTAAGCTGCGAAAGCTTCCTCACAACATCTTGGCAGAAAAACTACATAATTTCTACAAAGGAATCTGCTAACTTTGAGAGACAGTTGAAGAATATGATGGTAACTATATCATAATTTAAAAACTTATTTTCCTTTTAAATATGACTGCTTGTCTTCCATTTAAGAATCGCAAATGGACTTCAGTAGTCATTAGATGAATACGAGAGAAAAGATCAGCTTGTTAAAATGCATATAAAACTCTGGTATATCAGAGACAAAAATTCCATTTAAGTAACATCATTTGAATCACTAATTAAAACACAGAAAAACTTTTAATTCAAATGGTTTGATTCTATATTATATAAATATACAAACATGAAAAATTTTTATATAAAAAAAAATGGAATTAGTCCAAGAATTTTTGTGCATTATGCCACAGAAAACTGACCAGAAAAAAGACAGAAATTGGAACCAATTTTTCATGAAATAAAACAAAATTCAAATGAATAATTCAAAATCCTATAATGTAGAAATTAGAATTAGTATATATATTATCCAATTTAATACAAACCTGGTTTTTCTCTTTTTAGCCAAAGGAATACCATTTACAGGAAAACGAAATAAAATAAATAAGTAAAATATGATTTAGAGAATACTTTCAATATTAATTAACAAATTTTTGCAAGAATATATAGAATTAAAAATTTAAAGTTTCAAAATGAAAAAAAATTAACAAAGAATAGCACTGGGTTCTTCTCTTTGAATATTTTAGTAGTGTTCGGATTGGTATATAATAGCAAGTAGTGAATGTAAATTAATGTTTTATTTCCTCGCAGTGCTCGCATGACGAATATAAAAGAAAGGTAAGCTGGAAAATTGAAAATACAGAGCGCGGGATTTACATTTAATAAATAATACAGTCAAAGTCGTTATTCGGACACCCATATCAGGACTCAAAGCTGAAAACTTCTGCCTCGCAGAGTTGACACATGCGCATAGGCGTTACGCATGCACGTAGACTTACGACTGCATATGCATGAGCGCAATGCAAAAATACTTTGTCAGGCGCATTTACGTATACTAACGGTATAAGTAAATTATTATTAGTTATGTTGAGATTGTGTTTACTTAATCTCGAACTGGATCCGGCTATTATTTTTTGCAACTGTAGAGCAATTTTATAAAAATAAACTTGAACTTTGATCTGTAAATAGAATTTGATGCTGGATCTCCAAAGGTCTACAAAACGAAAGATATTCGATGTATCAACAAGAAGTGGAATGCTGCAAACAAGGAAGACATGAGAAGTGACAAAGTGTTAGGAAAAGAAAAATTTCGATGGCGTTAGTCGTATTCTCGCACAGAATAAGGACTTAAACAGCGGAACTTTTAACGAACAAGAATTATTCTGTTTATAGAATGAAAGAGAAAGTATTATCCATAAAAACAACTTAAACAACGTACATTGAAGAAATGTTTAAAAAGTAAACAAATAAATATTAAGCTTTTTTTTTTTTGTAAATTTTGACACCCTTTAAATCATAATTGTTCTTTATTTCATAAATTACGGTTTCCATCGATTATATCAATGACACTGAATTTGAAAGAACAAAAGTTATTTATACCTTTTTATTTAAATCAGAGAAATCAGTTTTATGGTCTGAAACATTACTCAAGATCAATAAAATCTTAAAATCTAATTCATTTTCTCTATAATAGTGTTCTGTCATAGGACAATAGGCACTGGCATAATTCGAGATGTAGAATCGAAATATAGAAAAAAATTAGTATGTTATTTCAGAAAAAGGCTGATTTTGTGTCAAAATACCTATATTAGAACAGTGCTATATATAAATCTGTTCTAACATAGGTATTTTGACACAAATCAGGCTTATCTGAAATAACATGATAATTTTTTTCCATATTTCGATTCTAATATATATCTAATAAGTCGCACTTTCGAGACATGAAAAATGCAATTTGAATTTCGTCAATTGGTCCAGTAGAATGGGAGATATATAGAACTGTTTTTTTTTCACTCATTGTTATTAATATTTTTAATTGATATTAAAATTTAATTATCATAAATGGACTTTGATGCAGATATGCATACTGAAAACCGATAGACAGAAATTAATTCAACATCACAAATGTCCAATTCTTACTCATGCTAAATAGCTTATATATTAAGAACAGTAATTATAATTGCAGTGAACTGCAATCAGTGTCATCTTTCAGATACTTCTATACTTAAAGCTACATTCATTCTAGTCTGTTTGCACAAAAACTGAAAAAATGCTTGTGCGCATTAATTTAACACTACAGAATAAAATTTTGCTTTAAAGGCTGCTATATGCACACACTAGATGGCTCTTCACATTGGAAACTTGGGCAAAAATGTATATTTTTGTGTAGCATTTTTACAATTATATTTTTAAATTAAAACGGATCCAATTTCTGAAAGAGCAAAACTTTTTTTGCTTCCTGCTTTACATACAAGAAAAAGCAGAAGATGACAACTTGCGAGAGACAACTTCAGCAAGGAGATGCATTTGAATGACATCAAAAGTCTTTTTAATTAATTTTGTATGACACCTCATCAATTTTATGAATTTCTAGCTTCACTAAAAGCAGAACACAATTTTTTTTTTCTGAATATCACAGAAATAAATCATTTTGAGAACAGAAAAGAATATTGTATATATCTAATGTAACTTATAATTTTATTGAATGACTATTACATTTTGATTTTAGAAAGTTAATTTTTCATGGGGTTAGACTATAAAATTTTCTATAAAATGTATCCTTCCCTTAATAATGGTTTATTAATGTAATAAAAAATATTTTTAATTATAGTCTACATAAGATTTATAGGGTTATTACCAAATACACTACAAAGTCCGTAATTCGCAATCATTGGGACTTCGGCAATTCCGGATTAGGATTTTTTTCCGGATTATCGATCATCAATTTAAATCTGATAAGATGGCATGCAGAAATTATACAATTAAAAATATGAAACCCCAATTTATGAAAGAGCAATTATGATCTAAAGGGTATCAAATTTTACAAAAAAAAGCTTAATATTTGTTTACTTTATCAAACATTTCTTTCAACGCGCTCACGCGTAATGTATGCATGCGCATTCTTTACACGCATGCGTAAAGCATACAATAAAAAAGTTTGTGGCTTTGAGGTCCGGATTATAGATCATTCCGGATAATGGGACGTCCGGATTACGGGCTTTGTACTGTATTGCATTTGAAAAAGGAAGCAGATTCTAAGATGTATATAGAGAAGAGAAAAAATCTAAACATATTTCTTGCCTTATATACATATATATACATATGTTACCTTTGAATGTGATCATAATTATTTAAATTAGTCATTCATACATTAATGAAGAATTGTCTATGTTTTATTTTATGAAGTCATTTTTTTTATAATTCACTGAAGTAACTACAATTTACATAATTTTTTTTTAAAAAATTGAACTCCACAAGCAGTAAACTTGTTAGAGCTCATGCAAGTGCTCTATAAACTAATGTAAAATTATCATCAAGATTTAACTTCTGGAGTGGTTCTTATAAAATCAGAGTGAAAAATGGTTGTGCATTTTTGAGGAAAATTAAGCATTCAAATGACTAGATGCCTTAAAATGCCCAGAAGTATTTCATAAAATCAGCTTCAATTTAATGTTGAATTTTGTCTTAATTTAAATGCCACATACTGTCAAACTTTCTTTCTCTATAAATAATATTTTTCCTAAATGCTTTAAACAAATGGTTTATTATCCCTAGCTGTTTAAAACTAAGAATTCGATACACTTTTAAAATGGTATTTAAAAAAAGCAATCTTATGCCCCTGCAAATTTTGCTTTTGTTTGTTTAACATATGTCATGTGGCTTTTATGCTGACTATCTCGTGAATTGTGACAAAGGTTCATTATTATAAGAAGAATATTGCACATGATATTGCCTAGATGATGAAAATTATGTTTGCAGTCATTAAAAAATAAATGCAAACTCCTTTGCACAAAAAATGAGTGGGGGTGGATAAAAATCTGTTGTAATGGCATTCTCATCAAAGCAGGGAGAAAGCAAGGCCTGAAACGACAATACCTAGTATCTGTTGTAATTTCTTCACATGTTACCTTCATGCTAAAGTGTCTTCTATGAGAAACTGACTTTCAATCTTCATCTTCAACATATTGAATAAGCATCTTGGCTGCTCTGAAGATAGTGATAAACTTTTCTGTAAATATTTTTTGGGAAAAAATATATTTCAGGGTTCCCCTTGGCAAAAATTGGCACCATTCTTGTTTACATGCAATGCCCCATCAAGTAAAATGGTATCCCAAACATAATTAAAACATAAAAAATATAATCTCAATAAACTGCATTTTAAATCAAAATAAAACAAGGAAATAACATAAAAACTGAAATACATGTTATATAATCTGCGCAGTAAAAAGAAGAAATATCGACTTGCCTTATTTAGAAATTTCTGTGTCTTTGGTGTGTGGTACACAGAATTTCTTAACAGCATCCAAAAACTGTTTAAAATTATCTGACCTAGAAGCTGTTATATTGCAATCATTATATAAATGCACAAAAGTAAGAATCAAAAATATCCTCCCTAGTTGCGAACTGTTAGTGGCATTTCTTTCAAAAATCCTTTTTTATTAAGCCCAACATACCTTCAATAGTGTTGATATGAGCTCAAGTTTGAGGATTCTTAAATGTCACTGCGTGATTTACTCAGAGGTGAACAAAGCCATTATCAAAAAGACAATTGTATGACTTCCAGCAATCGGATTTGATCTTTGTTTCAAGTATAAGATATTCTAATTCAGAAGTCAAACAACAAAAATCAGCGTTACATTTACAAAATTTTCACAGGACTAGTTTCGATGGTTTTACCGAACCACCATCTTCAGCTGCAAAACCTCAAATGAACAAGATAGGAAATAATGATTAGATAAGATAAGAAAGCCTGGACAAGAATAAGCAAGTGGCGCAATCTGTTGACGAAACCAGAACTAAAACATAATTTCTCTAAAAGCCGAAGGCAAATTTGGATTGGAATTAGGATCGTTAACTAGAACAGAAAGATTTTTATGAATGTGAAATGCCTCTAGAAAATCCAGTTCTCCAATGGAAGATGTTTTTTTGAATAATTTTGGCAGCAGAAAAAATTGAAAGTATGATTTTCGGACCAACAATGTTGAGCAACAGAAACTTCTGTGTTTCCTTTTTTCTAACATATGCCTCATGTTCTTTGACGCGAAATTTTAAGGCTCTCTTAGTTTGGCCAATGTAAATTAAACCGCACTGGCAAGGAATCTTATAAATACCCCAGGAATTCAAATCCGGAATGGGGTCCTTGAGTATAGAAGTCGGAATTTTATTGATGGGAGAATAAAACAACCCGAAAGTTTAAATTTCTGCAAAATATGTGCAACTTTATAGCTATGGATGGAAAGAAGGGAATGACAACAGAATTTTTATAATCTCCTAAAATAAGAGTGTGGCTTTTAGTGTGTTGAGATGAGAATTTTTTAACTGCTTGATTAATAATGTTGGGGTGAAAAGCCCCTGTCAATAGCTATTGCTTT